GAGAGTTAGGCAGAGATTTACACTCCTGAACAATGGTATTTTAAATGTTAAGTCCACAAAATCCAAGATGTTTTACACCCGTATAGTGTTGCTTTCCAAAAGTGCTGTAATTCTTTAGGCAAGCTACAGAGGCTTAAAATGATATGAATTCTGTCTTTGTACCACAGGGCCTTTAAAAATCTAGAGAGCTACTTGTGAGTGCTTGGAAAAATCCAAGGTGCAAGTTCCCAAACTCTCCCTGTCACACAAGTATTCTGGTTTGCTGTTACATATCTGTGAGGAATGGGAGACGGCAAACAGGTCATACCTGAAGCATTTGTTTGACCAGCTGCTAACTCATGATCAGTGTTACAAAATTCACTGGAGTTAAAGGAAGTTCTCTATGGCAGGAATTCCCAACAAATCAATATAATGTAAATTATTCCCTTTCCATTTCACATGGGAATGAAACAATGAAGGAAAGAAGAGGAAAATCCAGTGACAAGAAAAATCAGTTTGATTTTCCTATAAATCATTACCTTCCAGCACAGTGTTCACAAGCAGGGAAAGTAGATGCTGGAATTTGAGGCCAATGCACCCACTTTGTCTCCTCATAGCTGTTGTGCTTTGCACCATCTCAGTGCCTCTGAGTTCAGGACCTTGTTCTCTTTAGATCTACATCCAGTGCTGAGGTGTGACTCCATTGATTTTAATTTATTCCCGATTTACACCAGTAGGGGGGTGATTAGAACTGCAATGCCCATGGAGTGTGCCATAGGGTTGCTAATTCTTCTTCAGTTCTTGAAAAGATGATATCTTTGGAAAAGCTGTCATTATTTTATCCTCCTCTCCCAAGCAGGTAAACCCTAGAACACAAGCTTCTAGATTTGGGACAACTGAGGGGATACAGGCTGCTAAAGAGGAGGCTGGGGGGTAAGGAAGGGAGCATAAGCAAGTGCTGCTCCCAAAGATCTTCTCCAGTCCTTTCCCTATTCTCAACTACTCTTCCTGCTCAGTCCTGGAAGTCTTGGCTTTGTCACACTGAATAAAATATTTTTCTGAGTAATTCTTGTTCATGTATTGTAATAGGTTTTCAGTTACATATGATGATTAATGAAAAAAGGTATTTATCTAATAGGAAAGACAATACATGGTGATACCATGTATTGCAATACTGCAATACTGGAAAGTCCCTGAGTAATCCTACTGCAATTAGTTTTTTCCTCAAAAATGCAGTTAATGCAATTAAAATGGTCTCATCTGTTCTTTGAAAAAGTTGCTGAGTAGCCTGAATACCCTGACAGTGTTTCAGGCACCATCCTGTCCATTTCTTCCTTTTCTTTTTTTTTTTTTTCCCAATACTACTTCCCCTTCTGGAGATGATTTCATTTCCTATGCAGTTACTACATACATGGGGAAAACCCAGGAATACACAAAGACAGATATTTTCCATCAAACTTGATCAGTAAACGGCTTTTGTTGTATTGTGAATCTGCCAAAGGGCACAGAAAGGAAGAACTGCAATTTTGGAGTCCTTCAAAGCGCTGAAAAATGTGAATCAAGTTCTGAGTCAACCACAAATACTCTGCTGGAAGCTCAGGGAGTGCTGAAACAGGGCTCAGCATCTCCATTAGTGAATTTTAGCTGTGCAGCTGCAAGCATGGAGTATTATATGCATAGCACCAGGACCTAGAAGAGCCAGCAGGATTAACACTGGGAAATCAAGCTGGCTGGCAGAAAATTCAGGAGAGAGAGAGAGAGAAGTGCTAGCAATGACTTTAGGTGTGTGATAGGATTGTGTATTCCTGGAGCAGCTGTGTGTGCTGCAGGGACATCCACGTTCCGTGTGCTCTCGAGACAGAGATCTCATCAGCAGGGCAGGTGGAAAAAACCATTCACCAGCTGAGATGTTGCAACTGTGCCTCTCTGCAGCAAGAATCACGGGCTGCACGGAAAATACAGGAATAGGGATCATCATCTCCTCTGCTCTGAGGAAGTAGTGCTGTGGTCCAGCAGAGCTCTGCCTCTCATCCTTGTTCTCAGAAGTCTGTGCAATTTTATGACTAATTAATACTCCTTCCTTAAATCACTTGCACAGTGACCTCTGTAACACCTTCCCAGTGCAGGACTGATTTGGCAAAGACCCTTCACTCCATGCCCAGCACTTCTAGAAGTGAACAATTGCTATTTCCATTTTTTAAAAATGAAGGTAAATATCAAACACAAGCAGTTTCAGGAAGTGGGGAGGCAGCCACACAAATTTCAGCGAGCGTCTCCTGAGATGGAGGGCTCAGCAAAACAAATTTGGCTTGCAGAATTGCACATTAACTAAACAAAAGAGAATTAATATTTTTGCACAGGACTGATCAGACATTGTAGAAGCTCATAGGAGACAGATACTAAAAGTGAATCTCATGGTTACATTTCTTATTAGCCCTTTATTCTATATTTTTCATGTAAAAGTCATTCAGTGAGAAAGCTGGCAAATTTAAAATCTTGTGGAGTTTGCTGATATCTAATTAAGGAATAGTAGTGGGGAAAGACATAGAGCTATGGCATTTGTAACTATAATTAATTCTTTGTTTGGCCCTCTCAAGTCTGTCAAGGAAAGGTTCACATTAGAGACCATCTCACTGCTAAAACACAGATGAAACTAAAGATCCCAAATGCCAGGGAAAAAACCACAAAGATGTTGAAGTCTTTTCCTATTGCAGATCAAAAATATGAGGAGATTTTTCATGCAGGGTCACAGAAGCGTAAGAATTTAAGAGGAAGAGTTTGCCTAAAGGAAATGTAAAGCAAAAGAGGACTACCCTTTCCTGTGGAACCTAACACTCTTTCAAAAAACCCCATCAGGTCACAGGGACTGACTCAGCTGCTCAGCAATTTTAAAATCATCTTTTACATGTTTGGATGTAAAATTCCAGGCATGAGGCAGAATTACTAAAGATAGTAGTGAACAGTCATTAAGGGAAATGAGGACAGGGCACTGCAAGGATCCCCCCAGGGGAAAGAAATTCCTCACTGTTCATGTGGGCATAAGGAAATGTAAATTTCCTGGGCACTCAAAACACAGAAAATTATCTGAGAACTGCAGTATTTTCACCTGGGTATCTCAGCCTCTCTCCTGCCCTTTGTTTTCTATAGTATAACTGATGTGGAAGCCTTGATTAGTGGAATTACTGAATCCTATGCCTACTGTAGCACTCCAGGTTGATCTGAACTAACCCTACACGTACCAGTTTGCCATGTGATTTGGACAGGGACTGTTGGACCACACACCAGTGTCAGAAGTTGACACAGGACAGCCTGTGTGTCATATACTGCTGATAAGCATCAGTACTCAGAAATCTTATCACTTGGTAGCTGTTAAGGCACTCTCCTGCCAAGAAAGTGGAAGCTTGTCAATAACTGGATTCATGACCCTTATGACAAAGAGGTATTTATACAGCTGGAGGATATCAGATATTGTTTATGACACCCATATTTAAGGCTTAGCAATGGCTCTTTTCAGAGTGTGTGTGAACTAGAATCCAGCAGCTCTTAATTCACCCACCTCACGTCTCCAAACAAGATCCTTTGAAATCAATTGGAACAGCAGCCGCTTTCTTTGGACCAAATCACATGGTTTACAATAAAACATGTAACCTTTTCATTCAGAGTTCATCTCTTCTGACTTCTCTCTGTAATCACAAGAGAGATTTTATCTTTGTGGACTGTGAGTTTTTGCAGGCCACTCCTGAGCACTCTGCTCCCTACATCATAGCTTACAAGTCAAAGCACAGCCTCCAGTGCTCAGTTGTCCCACTGCTCCATATCAAGATTTGTTATGCTGTAACCATGATGTTGTCTCTGATAGATGTAAAACACCTAAGCCCTTTCTTTATATTTGAGTAAAATACACAGAGCCACAAACATCTGCTCTGTCTGGACCAAGAAAGCAGAAATGGCATTTCCTTAAGACCAAACAGGCAGAAGGATTTGCACAAAGAGAACAAAGGATAAAAGCTTCATTGCATATAGAGTCCAGAAAGAATATCTTCTTACTTGGGATACAGAAAATAATTTGTGAAATTAAAGAGAAATAACAGTTTGTTGGAAATATTTGGGAAAAAAAATCCACACTCCTTAGGCCCTGCAATTCATCCTCCCATTTTCTCCTTGTATGCAGGCTAGAAGACTTTTCCATTGATGCTCTAGCTTGCATTTCTGTAAACAGCTTGCTCTGCATGGAAATGAAGTGTGAGGGGAAAATAAAAAGTCCAGAGACAGGAACAAACGATCCAGTCTGTTGGACAGGACAACACTTGGTAAAAAGAGGTTAACCTGGAGATATGATAAAGCTTACAGAAATATGAAGCTAGTGGAAATCAAGGATAAGGATCAATATCTACTTCTTGTAATCCTGTAAAAGAATCAGGAGGCAGCAAACGAAACCAGAATCAGACTGCTAGGGATAAGTCTCAAAGACACTTGGTCTTTTCTAACACATTCCTAGACACCTGCTGATTGCCATGATTGAAGAGGAGAATCCCCAGGCAGACCTCAGGTCAGACAAGCAAGGGCTGTGATGAGGGGTTTTTCTATTTATCTCTTAACTAATCCAGCTGTATTTGCTGCACACAAAAGTAACAAGGAAACCAGGTGCTTAATTCCATAGCTTCTGGAATAGCTACTGTTCAGATCATGTGCTCTAAGGCAATTTATAAACTACAGACAGGGATAGATATGGTAATGGGAACTGGAATTCAGTCTGGCATATGTAAATCTCTGAGACCTTCATGATCAGTCAGAGAAAAATAGCCTGCATTCATTCATATTTGGCCCTATGTTTTGTTCCTTTGACTTCTCCATTACCTGGCAGAGGAACAGTAATGAGAGTCCTTATTGTTTAACCCAAATAAGGCCTAGTTGTATTATAGTATTTGTGTCTACTGTTGAAAGAAATGGTTGAACACCTCTGACATTGTCAGAATAATCCTTCTTCATGATCCCATCTTCAGTTTTCTTTATTTCCATCATAATCAGAAGAAATCTTCTCTTTACAGGGTCAAATTTAAATTCACAAAAGTGCCTCACTGTTTTTCAGAAGCAGAATCCTACAGCAGCTTTTAGAATTTTCCTTTGCCCAAATTCAAAGCAGCAAATAACTAAGAAGTTTTTGCTTCAGAAGAAGCAGTCATTCTCAAAAAACAAAATCTACCTTAGGTTAGACAAAGGAATTCATTGTATCATATTCTGTTTGTTCTCAATGGTTCTACAGAGTCTCAGTGGTACCATTGCTTATTTCAGTGAATCTAGATTTGAATTCATCAAAAGAATACCGTAAATATTTCTGGTAAAGTTATCTCAGCATATAAAACAGTTTTTTAAAATGTACATGAATATAAGGATATGGAGAGCTAGTATCTATAATTTCTAGAATTATTGGCTCCTACTTCTGTCATGTCTTACAACAGAAAAAAATAAAAGTGAAGTCCAAACACACAGAGATAGAAAATCACAGAGCAAATGCCTTTGAGCTGTGGTAGAAAGTCACAAGAAGGACACAAGTACACATAAAAATTATTCCAAGAAGAAATTACAAACTCTCTACCGACTCCACACAGGTCACTGCAGGGCAACTCTACATGTCTTTACTTCATCAAGTGTTTTCTATGAGTGAGAAGCAGCTTTGTGGTCACCAGGGGAAACGGGCTTACCCATTGACCTGTGACTCAGAGCTCAGCCCCATCTCACAGGTTCGGAGTTTCCCAGGTATGACCCCCCCGTCCCTGTGATGCCGGAGTGCCCCGGCTGGCCAGGCAGGATATAAACACAGCCTGCCCCAGAACACAGGCACTTGTCACCCTGGGATCTGCCACAGCTCACTCCACCACACAACCAGGCCCAGGCCACACCAGGAAGACACTCTCTTGCATCATGATTGGCAAGACTGCGGCTGCTGTGCTGATCCTGCTCCTGATCTCAGCACTTGGAGCACAAGGTAAAGAAACCTTCCCTCGAGCTCTGCTGACTAGTGGCCAGAGGAAATGCTGGAGGGGAGACACTGTGCTGTCTTACCAGTGCAGCAGAGGGCTCTCCCAGTGCTGTCAGCAAAAACCCCCAAGTTGTGCTTCCTGTGAAAATAGTGAACGACTCCACTGCTTTTTTTTTCCAGGTGAGGCGGTGCCACGCTCAGCCATCGAACTCCGGTGCCAGTGCATAAGCACTCATTCCAAGTTCATCCATCCCAAGTTCATCCAAAACGTGAACCTCACCCCCAGTGGACCTCACTGCAAGAATGTTGAAGTCATGTAAGTGTTTTGCAAAAACTTCCTGATTACTTAACAAGAAGGAAGCAGATTTTGCTCTGGATAGTGTGCAAGTGTTCTGTGAGCAGTGTGAGCAGTCTGTAGAAGCAGCTGCTTAGAAAGCAGGACAACAACATTCCCTGCTCCTACAATGTGCTATGTGTTGGGAACTGAGGGTTGTTTTGCCAATCTCTACTTGTTGAACGCATGCAGTATTTTTACCTAAATTCGTAGTCATCAGGCAGCAAATAACTTTCTAAAACTCTGAATTCCACTGGCTTGTGAAAATGCATGGAGCCATGCTGAGCAAGAGATAAAAATATACTTTTTAAGGGTTAGGTCAAAAAAATGATCACACTTCTGCTCAAGTCTATGAAAAAAACTACCATTAGCATTCAAATCGTTCCAGTTACATTCCAGAACTTTTTCTGTAAGTAACCAGGTTCCTATGGACTGGTAGCTCCTCTGGACTGGGCAGTACAATTTCTGAATCAGGATGGAAAGATTTAACTCTTCAGTGAAAGACTGACACCAAGCCAGTTGGGGAAAAAAAAAAAGTTTTGAAGAGAGGGAGAGCCCTGCAGATGGTTTAATGCATCAAATAGACATGAGAATATACTAAACCAGTGAAAATGATCCCTTTATGTTAGGCTACAGCCTCAGTTTATACAGCTTAAAGTGGAACATGTCAGTGTATGCCTAGAATGATGTTATTATGAGAGAAAGGAGACATTGCCTCGGATTTCACTGAACAGCCCTTTTCTCTTCCTTTCTTCCCTGTTGCAGAGCTACCCTGAGAAATGGCAGAGAAGTGTGCCTGGAGCCCAGTGCTCCCTGGGTGAAGCTGATCATCAAGGCAATTCTGGACAAGTGAGTAATTTCTCCTCAATAAGCACAGCTTATTGAAAACCAGTATTTTAATTGAACTACCAAACACAGATGGGTGTGAAGGGCTCCAAAATTCTGTCTCCTCAGGCAGTTATTGCCTTTGTGTTCACTAATTGTAACAAACACTGTGATTGCTTTGAGCCTTAATTACAGCATTAGCTATTGAAGCCTTACTGTGCCACACATCTCTGGGAAGGTTACCTTCCTCTCCCTTAAGGCAGATGCATTTTGGAAACCTGCAGCACAAGTGCTCAGAGAATCTGAGTATTAACTGACTGGTTTTCTCATGCTTGCAGTGGCAGAAAGCAGCAGTCAGTTTTTCAAACTACTGGCACATAGATAAGTGGGGGGAAAAACAGGCTCCAGTTGTCAAGTGAAGCATCAAATGATGGAAATGCACTGCTGTTGAATCATTTTGGGAATGCTATGACATACCCGTGTCCATTGGGTTCTGTCATAGCTTTTCAGGGTCCTGGGTACAGAAGCAGAGAGTGGTGGATTTCAGCTGACACCAGCAAGTCTTACCTGTTATATGGTTGTTTTTAATAGCTTCCTTTTCCATCTTCTTTCTTTCTAGGGCCAACACCAAACCTGAGACAGAGTCCTAAAACAAAGAAGAAAAATGTCCTGACTTCTCCAGCAAGACAAGATAGGGAAGACACTCACCCAGCTTCTGACAGTTCACCTCCTCCTGCCTCCTACATTCACAATGTCACATCATTTAGAATATGGATTCCCTGGTCTGTAGTTAGTTGACAACCATACTTTTAGTCTTTTAAACTGGTCTCATTATGCAGGAAAGAAACCACTGCCACCTCAACAAGAAGGCGGGAAAAATGACTTGTGAAGGAATATGGAGATGATTCTGGAATAATTTTTGCTAGACACAGCTGTAACAGTGCAGTGCATGCCCAGTGGAACTTCCACTAAATGACTCATTCCCTTTGTGCTAACAGTTTAGGAAAAGACCAGCAACAATTTCTCCCCAGCAAAGCATGGACAAGTAACTTCAAGTGCACCTGGGTCACTGGCACTCGCAGTGGGCTACTGGCTGAAGAGGGGAGTTCCACAACTAACACGCCAAGATTCTTGTACATCAGGTTTTGTGTCATAATTATTTATTGTGAATGAGTGTTGTGAAGGTATAAACATATATTTTAATGCCGTCTTTTGGCCAGAAAAAAAATTATTATTTATTAATTTATAGAACAATATTTATTTATTTATTTATTTGTTTACTTATTTATTTTTATAAGATTTTTATGTTTACCTACCTAATAAATACTTGTTGAAATGTTTTCCCTTCAATTTTGTTTGTTATTAATTTCCTTGTTGGAACAGAGAACTGAAAAAAAGAGGAAGCCTTTTCTTTCAGTTTGTATCTCATAAGGGGTTCCAAGAAGGGCAAGGGGAGGATCTCATTTGTGGGAGCCAGCAAACTGAAACAGCATATTGCTGCCTCTGTAAGGTGTAGATAATGAGAGGAATTATGAAAGTTATCTACTGTCTTCCTCTTTCCTGTCAGTGTTTTCAGAAGTCTGGACAATAAAATGCCCAGATAGTAATGACCACATACAGGTTAGTCACAGAAATCACAAGGCCATAGCAGTGTGGTGCTCTGACAGCATGGCACCTGAGAAAATGGCAGTGAACAAGGGGTTTCACTAGCTTAAAGAAACAGGGAAATCTGATAAACATTAAGGAAATCACTGAACATCCTCCCTAACTCCAGTTAGGGGGGAGGACTACATCAGGGGAAATCCTAAGACACAGAGTTCCAATTATATGGCCTTATATCTACCTGTAGCAGAGCAATTTACAGAGGAATGTTGAAATTCAAGCAGCAAACACTTGTGAAGTGGGAAAGCTGAGCAAATATTTTGATATTTGTTTAGGTTTAGTCTTTTCCAACAAGAAGCCACTCCATATTCTGCACAATCATCTCATGTTTGCTCATGGTGCAAGACATAAAAGGAGTTTTTGGCAGTGTTTGAGCAAGTTCTTGTGCAAGAGGACAACTGTTCTGACCACATTTTCCTCCCTGTCCCCATATTTGCCCCTGTCCCACTGCACAGCATTGTACAGGCTGCTACTCCTCAGAATGCAAAGGAGTCAAGGTTTCTCAAGGAGACAGGTTTTGTTCAGACTTGTCTTACAAGTCTAAGCCTTCCTGTAAATAATCCTGAGGGATTTTTATGATATCTCCTTTCAGAGATGTAATTTGGAGATAAGGATGTTGCAAGTATCAGCCAAGAATGGGGAGAGGTTGGGAAAGACCACTTGATCTGCACAGCCATAAAAATCTGGGTGTATCCTAAAGGATTGGCATCAGTTTTAGTGTAATGCAGATAGGCATAACCTCTGTCACCAGCAAAATCCCAGTCAGGTTACTGGGAGCTGAACCACAGCTGAGAAAGGGCTTTTCTCATCAGTTCTTCTGTCCTAAATGTCAGCAATGGCTGCACTTGTAGGACCCTGGGCAGAGCATCTGCACCTTCCTCTGTAGGCTCATTGGTGAGACGCTATTCCAAGGGTAAAAATTCCAACATATCACATCTCTGTTCTGTGTGCAGTCACAGAATACTTTCCTTGGAAGCACAACAACCACTCTCATGCTTCCAAAAATGTGTTTTGGTGCTCTTGGAGGCTGCTAAGTGAAGCACTGTGGCTCTTCTGACTTGCTGTCTACCTTCACCAGACTGGGCTGCTCTTCCTTTTCGGTAGAAGTCACTTATGACATGTGTTTATCTTCTGTCTTAAACACCTGTGATTATTCTAAAAGCATGAGGTTAGAAAGAAAAACAAGCAACTTCCTAAGTGTTTATTTTAACCAAGTATCATTACAGCCCTTACTGCCAGATACTTTCTCCTTTCATATTATGAACAGATTAAAGTTTCAGAAGAGCTTAAGTGACTTTAGTGATGATGCCTCAGTCATTTCAAGCTCATCATTTCCTCCTTAATGACTAGAGAGACTTCTCAGTACAGAATAACAAAATCCCTTTAGCCAAACTGAAAAAGACAAAATCCTTTCAGAGAGCAGGAGAAACTAGTTGAGTCTTGTCTTCATAAAACACTGACCAAATAACTTCATCCAATTCATATCAAAGTACAGTGTGCAAGATTGGGATGAAAAGTTCTTGTAATTATGCTGGGTAAATGTTTGTGCACAAGGCACTTCAGCATGATGCAAAGAGCTGAACAGAAGTTCTATATGCACAGAGCAGGGGAAAAGTCTCTTTATTTTGGCTCTCTCTTGGAGAGATGTCTGGTAATGTTGCATTGATTTCCAAGTGCAAGCTTAGTATTGTTGGCTAATGTCAATATTCCATGAAGAAGTGCAAACAGAAAGTGATGGATAACAACAATTTAAAGAATAATAGAAAATATACAGCAGCAAAAGGCAGGAAAGTTTGAAGTGCCATTGAATGGACTGTACAGAAGTTTGGGTTTCTTATGCAACGCTCTCCTGTGTTAGGAAACCTGCATGTGCAGATCCCACCTCTCAGCACTCAGGCTGCTGGGAGTGCACCTTTCAGGTATAAAACCTGATGGGAAACAGCACCAGAGCAGGACCTCTGTCAAGAAGAAAATCTGCACAGCAATGGATGGCAAATCTTTTGCTGTCACTTTGGTTCTCTGCTTGGTCTTAATGGCAGGGTCAGAAGGTAAGAAAATTATTTATTAAAAATCATGTAAGCAATTAATCAGTATACACATGCAAATGCAAGTGGGCTTATGCTATGTCCATGACAACTTTTTGCAAGAGAAGTGCATCCTCGGTAAACTGTCATTCAGAAGCAAAAAGGATCATTTGTACCTCTTAGGATGCTGAGGATGTTTCCAGGAGTAAAATATGCTTCTGTCTGCAAATGGATTTATTCCTATGCTACAATATAGGCTTGTCTCTAGATTTTAATAAGTGCTTGAATTAAAATAGGACCTTTTCCCCTAAATATGTCAATAAAGATCTTCTTTTAAAATTGACAATTCTATCCTTTTTGCAATTTTATTCTTAGTAGGCAGGTTGATGACAGAGCAAGAATTATCCTGTTTGCAAGAAAGAATAAGGAATATCTTATTCGAATCTGCCATGATCAGATGATCATGGCAGAACCTGAGAAATCCAAGTTTAAACTCAAATGCACCTGCACATCAACAGCTCTGAAAACGCAGCTGCTGTGTTGTGCAGATGCAATTACTTTTATCTTAGCACACAGCAAATCTGAGTGTCTGAGAAACAAGAATGAGGCTACAGGAGAGAATGCAGTTTGCTTTACAGGGGGGCAAATAAAAACACTGTTCATGTACCCAGAGACAGCAGAATTTTGTTCCACAGGTAAGGCCTTGGAGAAGACAGATGAAAGAAGCTCCCAATGCCAGTGCATAAGCACTCATTCCAAGTTCATCCCTCCCAAGACTATTCAGGATGTGAGATTAAGCCAAAGAGGACCTCACTGCAAACATGTGGAAATCATGTGAGCACTTTTTCTCAACAGCACTTTGCTTCCTACAGGAGGAACCAACCCGGCATTTCTCATCCTTTTTACTCAAGTACTTTGAGTGGCAGGATGTTTCCCTAGCGAGCCTCAGAGACATCAAGTATCAGGGATGAGGCCCTATGTCCAAATGAATAAGCTATTTCCCAGCCAGTGTTACTAGCAGCTTCCAGACAGTATTTTAATTCTCTTCCTGTCATCTTACTTATGAAGAACATCAGAGGGGAGAATCAGATCCCCACAACACAGAGCACAATTAATAACTTAGACATTGAAGAATCAAAGATACAAGCTTGATCCTCTTGACATGAATTAAAATGGTTTCCTCTGCATGTGGCAAAGTTTAAAAGACCCCAAGTTATTTCTTGTGTCAGAATTTCACATGGAGCATTTCCCTGTTTGAGGAGTGGGGAATTTGGATTATACTCCATGTGGGTACGAAATAAAAGATACAGTAAGCTTCATTTAAAACCACTCCTGGAACTATTCACAGGAACCAGAGCAGTGCAGTCAGCAAACAGAAAGGCTCTGTCAGGCTTTTATGCTTTCACTACGGTTTCTTAAGCAAATAATGGTTATACAATTATACCCTCTGTGCAGCACTGCATGGCCTCCTGTTCCACCTCACTAGGCATTGGTACTTTAAGCCAGGCTTGGTTAAAAGAAATACTTTTAAAGATAATTAAGTTCCTGAAAGATCTGATAAAGAGTGGCCAGATAGAGAACTGAAACCAAATAGAAAATTCATTAGGTTCATCATAAGATTATAGCATAAACACCTATACTGACATCATTCATAAAAACCCCCAAACACATAAGACAAAACCAAACAAGTCCTTCATCTACTGGCTAAGAGAAATTTGCAGCCATTAGCAGAAGTGTGAGGGACACACCTGGCCCTAACTCCTGTGCTCCTTTCCTGGCAGAGCTACGCTGAGAGATGGCAGGGAAGTGTGCGTGGAGCCCGCTGCGCCCTGGATCCGGCTCGCTGTAAAGACTCTGCTGGCCAGGTGAGCTGTTCCCTCTCCTGGAACACCTGCACCTAAAAGCTCATTTTAGAAGGCTACTTAAATTCTTGGCATGCAAATGTTCACCCTCTTCAGGCATAGGTAATTCTTTCCATCAGTTCTCTCTAAAGCAATATTTCTACATGCCTGAGGAGCGAAACAGTTTCCTTTGATATCTTCCTGGTGTGTTAAACAACCCAAAAGGCCATGGCTATGATGGCCCTAAACATCTGCTGACAGACAGCACATTTTATGTGTTTGACACCTCCAAAAACCAAGGTCCCAAAAACTCACTTCCTCTTTCTGGGTGTAATTCAGACAGACAGCTGGCATTTCCAAGATCTTTCACTGCTGAAGACAACTACAATCAAATCCCTACTTTGCACACAGGCAGATGAAAGTTCTTTCTGTGGGAGCAGTTCATGCAGGAACAGTTTTGGTTTTGTTTTTTTTTTTTTTTCTCTGCACAAATGTCCATTGGTTGGCACAGTAAAAATGAGTAATTAATGATTGGTGAGCACTTACTGCTCTCCCTTAGCTTGTATTAATATTAATTGTTTCTTTAATTTCTGAATTTACTTTATACTTAATCTAATTACAGGGCCAAGGACAATGTTGAGTCACCAGTCAAAGAAAAGTCAAGGAAGAATAAACCTTGGATTTCTGCAAGGATGTGAAATGAGAGAAAGCATTGCTGCTGAGAATGCCATAATTTCTGATGAGAATGCCCCCTCTGCTACATCATTACAGTTGATTATTTTTCTTTCCCTGAGATGGTTGCTGATTCATGCTATTTTCTTTGCTGTCGCTCCCTCTTAACTTCTGTCAGTGATAGATCAAGAAGCTCAAGGTTAATGAAAGTGTTTAAGTGTTGTAAGGATGAGAATAAACAAGATGAAGTTAGTTACCCCTAAATGGCCTGACTGAAAGAGAAACAGAATGGATACAATTAGCAAAAACATGAATAAACACATAATAAAGAAGCATCCGTGTAGCTTTGAAGGAAGTCATCTCTCACACACTTGTTGCAGTTGTTTGAAGATGAAAACAAGACAGTATGGACAGATGTGATAGGTCTCACAGGCAGAGCCAAACTGCCTTTCTGAAATGCTTTCACAGCCCTCACTAAACATTGGAAATAATGAGGCAAAGAAACATGTCTTGGAAATGGATAAGTAACAGATGAATACATGGAGATGAAGGGCAGAATGAAAAGATCAATTTATCAATTTTCATTGATGAAGGGACATCACCCAGGGATTCTTATACCACATTGTGTGGGGTCCTGCTAGGTTTGGCCATCCCACACAGGATCTGGGAAGGTCATTTGCCATGAGCTGAAGTACTCTGGTGATGATAAATGATGATGTGCAAACAAGGCTTATCTATGAAGAACTGCAGAAGGACCTTGGGAGAGTCACTGATTAGGCAACAAACTACTAGGAGAAATTCCCTGCAGGAAGTAGCCAAAGTAATTGACACAGGAAAAAAATTAGAGCTCCTACAGAAGTAAAACATTCTAGGCTGACCTTCAGCACACAGGAGAGATCTCAGGGAGATGCTGGGTGCACGACAGGAATACCAGATCAGGAATGAAGAGTGTTTGTAAGTGACTAAATGGGATATGACTGGGTGAAAGGAAGGTGCAAGCAAGCACGGGTTGATACCTGAAATACCTCCTGTCTCATCAACAGTTCCAAGTCACTGTAAGCCTGGGGGTAAAGACTGGGAGCTCAGGGATTTCAGAAGGGAGCAGCTAAAAATAGAGACACTACATCACCCTTGTTACTTCTGTTTGTTGTGCTGCAGTTTCCACTCGCAGACAGGAAGATGCAGGCAGAAAGACACACATACACATATATACCAAGAGAAGTTTAGAAGTCGTCTTTCCAAAGAAAAAAACCACATTATTTACTTCAATATAACAGAAAATATTAGGTCAATATTTTTCTCTCATGTTAGTTTACAGATTAGTCTGAGTTGGAAGGGACCCAGAAGGATCATCAAGTCCAACTCTTATGTGAAAGTCCAATATGGGGATCGAACCTGTGACCTTGGCATTATGAGCACCATGTTCTATCTGACACCCTAACAGACCACATTCTTTATTATATAAAAGGATTTTGCAGCTTACGTATTTATTCTGTGTTGCTTTTCCAGGGTCATGGTGAATGGTTATATAGCTTAACATTATTGTTGATGTGTCAATTCCCATTGATTTATTGTTAATTTCTTTCTACAGTCAAAAAGATGTTTTGTCTTAGTGACTTGCTTCACACTGTTTATGGCTGGCCATATAAATCTGATTTCTGAGGTAGAAAGCACTGAAGTGCAGATTCTAGCAGCATTCATCAGACTAGGCACACATGATGAGAGTGATGGAGGACTCAAAAATGCCATGAGTGCCCTGTGGGGTCAGTTTTGTGAGCCCCAGGGTGGGTGGTGGGATTTGAAGTTTGACTCCCAGCAGCCCCCTTGTGGAAGCAGCTTAGGACTCAGATGTGAATCCATGAGCTGACTGAACATCTCCACTGTTCCTCCCTGCAGCTGCACCACCAGGCTTTGGTGAGCAGCAAGGTTTTACCTGTCCATCAGCCTGAGATCCATTGGGTCATCAAAGTTACATATTACAGCTTTTACACCAAACAGATCTCAGTTATGAGAGTCAGAGATGAGGGTGTGATGTGTGTTATGGCCACTGACCTCCTCTAATTTAATCAAAAGTTCCTGGCACAAACTTCTTCAAACTCACCATGTGTTTCCTCCTGCCACTTCCAGGTCCTACTTGCATAGTCAGAAAATGCCTCTGGCCCAGCTGATAAGAGGCAGATGCAAGATAAGCAATAAATGCAGCCTTATAGGGCAGGTAAAGCCCAGGTGGTGGTGCCTAACAATTCTCTAGGTGGACTTAGTATCTCTTCTGTTCACAGCACGCAGATAAATTTTATTTGTAGTAGGTATATTTGTTAATATTTTCTAGTATTTTATGTTAACACTACAGGTGATACTAATGCATCCTTTTCTTCTATTACTTTACACCTTATATTAATATTTTTAATGCATTTTCACGTTGAGTTAGAGCAAATGAAGCATTTCATGGAATGCACAACAATTTTTTAAGTGGAAGCTACGATACAGAATTGAATCTTTTCAAGCAGAGCTGAAACACATATCAAAAATGAATATGCAGTAACATACAACTGTTTTTATAAATACATACATTAAAAGGCAAATCAACCTAAAAGCTGTGCTGCTACTTTGTGATTCCAGAGGGATTCAGGAAAGTCCAGCACTTGCTGTGATCTGACTAAGGCTACATAACCATCTATATTTAAACACTGAAGTTTGAAAAAACTCCACAAGCTGTCCTAAACCTTTCTCCTTTCCTTGCTATCACTTCCCCCTATAGCAATTCTGATGTCCAGCAGATATTTTGCTTTTTGCGTGTCTGTTCCCTAACCATTGCCTCATTGCAGACTTCCACAAGTGTTTGCACAACACTGGGCACAGCTTCTGAGCAGCGGAAGCGATTGTTTCCCAGCTCCAGTATTTGTCCCTTCAGCCCTCTGCAGCTCAAGTCGAATGGCAGCTGAATGTCAAGGCCCTTGTGGGCAAAAGGAGGTGGTTTCAGAGGCCAGAGTGAGATTTTCCCTGGGTACAAGAGTAGCTGGAACAGAGGACACACAGGAGGCAGGAGTTGACAGACCAGCTGAAACCTCATTCCAGCAAAAGCTTGGCCTCCTGGGCCCCTGGGTCTGTTTGCACAACTTCTCAAGGGAGAGGATGGAATTTGCCTAAAACAAAACAGACTCAATTTTCTCAGGGTAAATTTATCGGCTCAGGAGCTGGAGCATTCTTCCGGACCTGGAGCTACTCAAACAGTTATGGACTGAAGGTCAGCCTCAGTACCCCGGAATCCCCCTTAGTGTGTCCCTTGTGCAGGGGCATCCTTTGCTACATGCAAAGACTAACGGGTCCCAGTCAAGATCCTAAAGATGCCCTTTTGACTTTTGTGCTTATTAGACAAGCTGATGAGTCACAACAAACCACTAGTTTCCATCCTGCAACATGGGGAACACAAGCTGTATCCTGCCTTAGAACATAGGCACGGGAGGTATTTGCTTCCTTTTCGGTATTCTTTCAGTAGTCAGACTGTTGTGTAAGCGCTGTTTTGTTCCCTGCCAGCGTGGTTTTTACAGGGTTTAGCCTGGAAGGAAGGTCTCTGCTCGCGGCGGTATCAGCTCACTCAGTGACGCCATCCTTCCAAAGGAGCAGCAATTCCATTTGCACAAGTCATCTCTGATGGCTGGCAGGGAAACGAGCTGCCACAATCCCATAATGGATTTGCAGTTGTCATGACAAAAGCCTGGATGAGATCCTGGGCACAGTGCTGAAGGGATGTAGGGAGAGCTTGGGCAAAACATGGCACTCCCAGAAACACAGCTCAGGAGTGCCTGGCCTTTGGGCTTGATCTCATGCCTCAACGTTTTCACACCTCATATTGTCTCTCTTACTCCCCCTTCACACAGTCCCAATGAAACTGCAACTTTGGTGAAAAAGTGCACGGATTTATATTCCATTACAAACATCCTGCTCTTTTGGACAGATACTCACTCTTAGTTCAGGGCAGGGCTCATCATAGGTGGAGCAGGCTCTTGGCTTCAGCTCTGCCCTGGGGATTTCTGCAGATCCGTTACTGCCACACGCAGGAAATAGCTGAGCCTGGTGGTCAGGAGCACAAGAACTCACTGATTTCACTTGGGGATTTGAAGGGGAATTCTCTTTCATTTCCTCAGATATTGATAACATTTCAGCACACCTCAAAATTATAGAATAAGGCTGCAAGTAGTAACTAAGAAAAGTGTGATCTCTAATCAAATGTTAATTTAACCTCTGTGTGTGTGCATACATATGTGGAGACACAGAGAGAACTCAAAAGAAAAAAAAACAGCAAAACCTTCCAAGTAAACTGGTTAAAACTCCAACATCTACAATCTGGCACCAATGAAACCACACAACATATACATCATAACAGAACATTAGCAATAAAATATAACCCTAAGTTCCTAGCGCAACGCTCTCCTGATTCACATCTTTAGAGAAGTAAATATATTTTTCATTGCAGTTGTCTAAGAGACACAGTTAAGGAGCAGCACTATCAGGAGCCAGTATCTTTTGTCAACTTAATAGCCAGTAAGAGTTAGGAGTGACAGAGCTGCTGAATCTTTTTTTGGCATAGCCCACGCAGTGATAGGAAACAAATTAATTTTTATCACAAAGTTCCTCTTATCAAGTTAATGATAAGTGGTAGTACACTGGAAACTACAATAAATTATGGGCAAACAAACATTCTTACTTTAAATAAACTGCAATGCTTTACATGCTAAAGAGGATTGAGTTTTTATGAAGGCCCCAGATTTGGGGAGAAGTGCCTCATTCAATCCACAGATCCCAAAACCACAAAGCTTTGAGTCTGAAGACTACAAGCAGCAAAAGTCATCATGTCAAAAGGACGGTGTTTTTACTGCACTGAAACAGAAGGCTTTCTCCCAATCACACACATTCCAGCTGGGTTTGAAAATACAGATCTTAATTCAAGCAAAAGTTCAGCATTTGACCCCATTCTCCCTTGGAATTGTCTCCCTTGCAAGCTATTATCCCCAACCACGGCAAATAGAAGCTCAGCATTCATACAACAAGGATCCCCAACAGAAAACTCTGTACAGTGCCATAGCTCTCACTCTTGTGTCCCTTTGCTAGGACCTAGGGTTGCTGTCACTGAAAAGATTCCAGGAAATACTTGTTAAAAATATCTGGAATTATGGAGGAAACAAAATCAGCTGTGTTCAGCAGGTCATGCTGTTTAGCTTGCATATAAAGCTTCCTCTGTTTATCATCCATTAACACGTGTAACATGAAAAGTACAGGCACGATTTTCAAATCCATTCAGAATTGAGCATCTGCTTCCAGCAGAAAGCTTTGAATACTGCAGCATTTATTAGACACAAAGAATTAGTGATGAATTTACTTTGAACCATGCCCCTTGAACAGAGGAAGAAAACAACTAAAATGAAAATATTTTATGTCAAAATAATGCTGAGGTAAAATCATGACCCAGTAAAGAGCTTCTCAGTAATTTCAGCACAGCCTGAATTCCACTCTGGTGGCTTGTATCAGGTAAGCAGAAGCTGTCACCATAAGTGGGAATAAGAAATTCAGTATCTCAAGTATAGACTTGATACATCTACAGAGAACAGTTATAACCCTGAAGAAAATAATAATAAGTGACAATCTATTATTATTATATTATATATTAACTTATTATATAATTTTGATAAATGTAACTGAAACCATTCTAAAGTTGCATTATTAAATAAGGATATGCTTTAGAAAAAACACAAAGTTTACAATTCTACCAAAATAATTGGAATGTGTGACTATCACAGACATATTTTAATAAATTAATGCATTATATTAATTGTATTTGCAGAATAATTCCTCGTCATCTAGGAAGAAGTTTCACAACAGTCATGTGACTCATTTTTACTGCATCTGGGAAATTCCTCTAACGCAATCTCTGTGCCAGCAGAGTAACAGAGGCTGGGCACAAAACAGTATATAAGCAGGAATCAACAGTCCCCACACACAGCAGGAATCAACAACCCTTTGGGACTCCAGCTCACAGAACCAGACCTAAACAGGCCAGCAAAAAACTCCTGTCCAACCATGAACAGCAAACTCGTAGCTGTCCTGGCTCTTTTCCTGATCTCAGCAGCTGTGTCT